TGACTGGGTGATTAGAGGCTCTGCTCATCATCACATTGTTCATGAACAGATTAGAGATGCGTTCACTGACTGTAGGACACTCTCACGTTCTCCTTCATCACGTCACGTTCTCCTTCATCACGTCACGTTCTCCTTCATCACGTCACGTTCTCCTTCATCACGTCACGTTCTCCTTCATCACGTCACAGTTGTCCTCTTCGTCATCAACACGTGTCCTCATTGTCTCCTGTGTTGTCGCCTCCTGTCCAGGGAGGACGGCGTCAGACAGGACCAGTGGGTTTTAATTCCCTCGCTCTGCGCTGGGCCATGAGCTACATCAGCCTTTTCCCGCTCCGTCAGCCGGTTGTTTACCAACAGGCAGCGCCGTCGTTCCTCCAAATCACCAGCTCGTTAGCGGGAAACTCATTTCCTGATCACACGACTTGGGGCAGCACTCTGGCTGTGTGCTGGACCCTGATGGTTTCTAACGAGCCCCTAACGACACTAAAAGCCACTAACGAGCCCAGAACGGCTCTTAACTTGCCTGAAGGTCCTTGATGAGCAGAGGAGCCTGATGCACCATTAGCAGAAGGATTTGAGTTGCTACTGGAGCCCTAATCACTTCCTGTCAAGATGATGCACACGGACACCAGGCGACTGCTGCTGCAGGCCAGAGGGGTCAGACAGGACATCCTGTACATGCGACGAGCATTTAGGTTTGTGTTTGATACCGGTCCTAAATCAATACTGTAAAAACAGAAGGAACCGATAACGGCTGCTACGTGTTTAAACGTGAGCTAAGTTCTGGTTGTGTTTTCTCTCCACAGTCGTCAATGCTGCTCGGATGTAAAGTACCATGACAACATATGTGCTATGATCACTTCTATTCAAATTCAAGTTGAAATGAATGAATTTAATCATGATTGCATCACATATCCGACACCAGTGCTACAGGACGGAGGAGAGAAAAGGTTTGTGTGACGGAGAATTGGCTTGAAAATGAATCAAGGGATTAGAAGGAGAAAGAGAATCCGTCTTTGTTCGTCCAATCAATTCCTCTTTCAGCTTTCTGTGACCACCAGAGATCTGAGGAGGGAGAAACATCCGCCGCCACGTTTGGGTCTTTGTAGAGCGATGGTCTTATTGTGAAAGGCCAGGGGTGGTCAGAGGACGTCACAGATGACGAAGAGGAATCGAAGAAGATGAGGAGGATAGCTGGTAGTGAGGTCTGAGTGCGAGGGGATTCGAGTGGAAGAGGCGAGGGAAGAGAAGGAGCGGAGAAGTGACCGGATCGACTCTGAGGAGAATCACTGAAGAGTCCAGAGCAGAGAGATGAAGAGGTTCTGTCCGGGCGGCTGCTCCACCTGGACTCATCTTCAGTTTCCATCATTTACTGACGTCCTTGTCATGGATGGATGAACACAGGCTGTTGCTGATGATGACTTGACAGCTCCTCTAAAGTGAAGCCAAAACATATCGCCCCCTGGTGTCAGGCTGCAGTATAGGTGATAAACCTCCTCCATGTTAGCAGGTGGGACATGGACCAAACTAAAGAATGAAAGTAGACGTTAAATAAATGTTTGTCAAAGATGTTTCTGTCGTTTCAGCTCGTTCTGATCTCACTGATGTTTGTTCAAGTGTTTCTGATCACTTTGGTTTGAATCAGTTATTTATGATATAAGACGTGATGATTTAAATCTGACTTTACTGGTTAGATTTTCTCTGATATTCATCAAGATGAAATAACACCGGACAGATTAGAACTCAAGGACGAGTCACAGAATTCATTTTTACATTTTCTATACAGTATGTAGCTAGCCTGCAGCGTTAGCTTGAATAAGGGATTTCTCTTGATCCTCTCCTCCCGTCACTCCACCAGTGGAGCTGCTCTTCAGCTCGTCCTGATGAGCGTGAGAGTGAATGAATGTGAAGCAGCAGGTTTCAGCTTCCATTGAATAAATAAAGGTGTGAAACACTGGTGCAGGTATGAAGCAGAGCAGACGCTCTTCATCTTCTTAGAAATGTTCAGGGTTCACACTTTGTGTTGCATCGTCTACTAGAGTTTGTTAGAGTTTATAAACACACAGCACAGATGGATGTGTGAGTGTATGTATTTAAAGCACACACACACACACACACACACACACACACACACACACACACACACACACACACACACACACACACACACACACACACACACACACACACACAGACTTCATGTTGTTGTTGTTGTGATCAGTTCAGTTTCATCTGAATTCAGATTCTGCCTCAACAATAATTTACATTTTACAACCGAGGTTCCGTGGAGACGAGTCGTCCATCTTTACTTTTAGTCTGTATTTTGTTTATGTGACGGTGAAAATGTGCAGAAACAGCTGCTCAGATAAACACGTGTGTGGTCTGCTCTGACTAATGAGACTTCAAAATGCAGCTGGATGAATATATATAACTATATATATATAAAAACTGAGTTTAAAGAGTTCCATTGTTCCCTCTCCGCTCTGCAGAACCTTTCTCATTAACTAACAAAGAGCCCAGAACCACAAATGCTGTGAAAAGAAAACTGATCTAATTATGGAGATGATTCACAATTCAGAGTATGATAATGTGTCTTTTGTTACCGTTCTTATTTCATTACCAACACGTTGAAGCAGCTTGGTCTCATAATCGGATTATTCACAACCAGGTTAAATGTCAACTCAATATCTCTGATAGTGTTTGTGCTGTTTGAAGAAGCTACTTGGTCCTCTCCTCCAGGAGGTGACGGTCATAGCTGCAATGCACCATGGGAGCTGGCTCTGCGGGAGAGCCGTTCCACTTCCCATCAATGCCACTGTACAGACTGTGAAGTCACGAGTTAGTCTTGGAATGAATGGAGCTAAATGGCTAAAATAATTATTTACACCGGCTTCAAGACAAAAATGCAAACATATTATATTTTTATTTTTACAAATATAGTATTGCTCTTATATCAGAATTTAAATTTGAATAACATAAATGTCCCTCAGCTCGTAACGGGGACGGACATTTCTGCCCATATCATGATCGTATATTCTGCTAATACCTGCAGAGCTACAACTCCTCCAAACAGAGGCCGTGGATCTTTATGAGGAGACATTGTCCCGAGATGGTTTGAGTTGTTGAAAACAGCAAAGATGTGGAATGTATTGCTGCGAGGTGACATGTTTGACTGTTGCTTCCCTCCGTGTCTCCGACAGGTATAAGGCGATAGTGAACCCGATGGACATCCAGAAGTCCGGCGCTGTCTTCTGGACGTGTCTGAAAGCTGTTTCTATCTGGCTGCTGTCCGTCCTGCTCGCCGTCCCGGAGGCTATTTTCTCCCAGGTCGTCACCATGCAGGTGAAACAACAGCCCTCGACACAAGGTTCTTCTGATCTGACAGAAGCTGTGTCTCAATTCAGCAGTGGACCCGGTCTACGCAGCTGATGTCAGCCTCATCCAATGGCTGTGCACACTGCGTCCGCTGAACCGAAGTGAGGTCCCTGCACTGAGACACAGCTGCAGTCTGCCTCTAATTACTGTTTCTCTTGACTCAAGTCCGTTTAGAAATGTCAACTGTTGCAGCAGATTTCAGATTCACTGTTCGCACAGGAAGAAAACGAAGTCAGATGATTATGTCATTTAATGTAGTGATGCATTAACATTGTAATAATAGAACAGACATGATCCGGAGCTCATCCAGATTAACCAAACATTGTACCTCTCCTCTCAGGGTCACCGGGATCACACCAACGCCACCTTTGTGAACTGCGTTCCGTACCCGCTGTCCAATCAGATGCACCCAAAGATCCACTCAGTGATGATCTTCTTGGTTTACTTCCTGATCCCTCTCGCCATCATCTCTGTGTATTACTACCACATCGCCCGCACGCTCGTTAAGAGCGCCCACGACATGCCGGGGGAGGTCAGCGAACACACCAAGAGACAGGTGACCGCTGGATGAATGAATGAATGAATGAATG